CGGCAGTAGCATGGCCTACTACGTTTTTTTAATGTTTGATTACGGATTGGTGTACCCACCTGCGCTAACGGTTTACGCTGACGGGATACCAGTGGAGGTTGATAAGATAAGCATGTGGCCAGGTCAGTTAGCCCATCGTGTCTAATTCACTAGAACTTATCACAATATTATCCAGGGGAACCGCGTCGAGGTCCACCTGACATAGTACGTAGCTTGCAATATCCTACCACTTTACCTATACATATTTAATTTTACATTTCAACCGAGATTTATAGGTTTTTTTAAGTGACCCGGATTCTCTCGAGTATATGTACATAAAAAAGTAATATTCACAATGCGAAAGTTTGTGACTATGGTTGGATGTTTGTTACTCTTTCCCGCAAAAACTACTGGACGAATTTTTGATGAAACTTTACAGTCATATAGCTTATACATCAGAATAACATATAGGCTATAAATCTCACGCGGGTAAAACCGCAGGCACTAGTACTATATATTTATTTTCAACAATATTTATTTAAGTATTATATCAGTTGTCTCTTACCCATAATACTGGCTCTACTTAGCTCGGGACTAGATGGAGGGTTATTATTATGTACTCCTAAAATCACCCTAACAACAGTGTCAACTCACACTAAACACTACATTGTACAAACGTGGGCCAGATGTCTATGAACTCGGGTTCAGAGTCGGTCAAGACATGGTGCGAGCACCGTGTGTCATGTTGTTGACTCGGCCGCAAACTATTTGCACATAATGATGTTTTATTTTGTTTACTTGCTATTCAGGTTTATTTGAAAGTGTTTTCTGTTTTCTTTTTACTTTTTAACCCCCGATGTAAAAAGATAAGTGTTACAAGTTTGATGTGTCTGTGGCAATATAGGTCCTAGACTAATGTACCGATTTCATGCGATTTTCTTTTTGTTGGTATGTCTCCTTACTCGAGTCATCTTCAATAATTCAATAAGATCTATTGAATTATACGTTTATGACTGCATAACGAACTCAGGAAACTTTGTACAGAAGTTGAAGCATTTTCTTGAACTTTTACTCGTAAATTTATGAAATAACTAATTAGTAACTAGGACTTAGTGCAAGAACTATTCTTGCAGATATAATGAGTACTAAATGAGCACTGACGGATTTATTTTTTTACTGACATTATAATATGCTATTTATATATTGACTTCAGTTGCAATTTAATAAAGCAGAAGTTTTTGTAGGGCTAATGGAGTTTCACTGAGAGGTAATGCGTAAGAATAAACTATGTTAGGCACCACAATATAGAGGTATGGAGGTAATCACAAAAACAAAAAGACAGTATCGACTGTACAAGGGAAAAGAAAACTCAATACAAAACCAACGGTTACTCTGGAAATCCTTTTCTTATTATGTAAAACTTGTGACGCGTAAATATGATCATCGAGATATAATGACCTCCAATAGCTAGTATTGGAATAAAATATTGACATATATATATACAGACCACATTTCTAAAGATACTTGTATCTACGAGTATGCATGTGGTCCGTGTAATGTAATTAAATCAAGTTCCGTACCGCGACGGTCGACTTCGCAGCAACTTAATGTTAATTCGATTACTGTAAGTCGTTTCTCAGAGTTCATATAGTTACATTGAAGATAGTTATTTTTCCTGACCGTTGAATAACTGCAAAGTTGTATTCCGTACTTTATAACTTTCTGAATAAGTAGCAATAATCTTGCAAGATATAAAAACAACTTGTTTTCCACTTGCGTGCTTCTCCAACTTTGTTGTGAAATGTTCAACGGTCGTAAACATTTTATTGTATAATGTTATACATATTTAATTTTGAGACCGAAGATCTACATGAATATTTATTCGGTAACAGAACTAAATCATCCTTGTAACGAAGGATAACAATCTCGCCCTTTACGAGGATTCTTGTACAGTTGGCATTCCTGGTACGGTACCAGACAACACTAAGTGAGAAACTGATACCAGTATAAAATGGTTTTTGCTTAAAGAGAACAAAATATATAATTACTGTGGAATGCGAGATGTTTATAAAAGTGCATAATTTTATTTATGTTATATAATTACTTTATTATTGCCAATTAGTAACGACCGGCCGAGTTATTATATAATATAACAATTAACACATTAAATAACCTGTATGCACACTATGAAAAATCTTACATTATTTTTAATATTTCACTTGTTTTGTAACATTTCACTAAGTTGACTAAGGTTAATTTAAAAATAAATCCATAAATTACTTTGGCTAAAAAAATCGATCATCGTAGAACGTCGTAATAATTTATGTAATTGACCGAAACAAGTGAAAACAGTTGCTAAATGGACCTACGAAGAACCATATGCGTGAGTTGACCCAGTTAAGCGAAAACGTAACGGTAGTGTCGGCAATCCAAAAGCCGGCAATCACTTGGAAAGTAATCAGTTGGAAATGGCACTTTCTCTAGAACAGGTCCCAGCGACGACTTCGGTTCGACGTGTGACCGCGCTTACCGCATTGGTCTGGTGTGTCGTGTTACACTGCGAAAAAAATATAGAATGTACCATTGAGAGCGTCACTGATGAGCGGCTGTCAGGTTGCTAATGAAGTTCGTCACAATTCGTACTCATGATCAGGGTTGCCAACCTTATAGTATGAAGAACCTCAGTCAAAACCTGGCATATCAATAAATAAAACTGTCTGCAATGAAGATTTATTTATTAACTTACCTAGGTTAAAATCTTGTAAATATTTTTATTACGAGATTGCGGCTCACCTGGTGGTCAGTGATGACCATCCCCATGAACACCCGAAACACTGCGGAAATAGCAATTGCGTTGTCGGCCTTTTGAGAAGGAATAACATCTTTTCTTGAAGTTTTGAATATCGTATTGGTTAGAAAATACCATTGCTGAATGATGATCCACAATGTAGTTGTGCATGGCATAATGTTTCTGTAAAAACTCACGGTGAATGATGATGATCAAGATGGTATTTTAGTTTCTGGCGGGTAATGTGATGGTGAATTTGTACGAGAATGAATCCACGAACGTCGTACCGAGGATCAAAAATCTTGTACCAGTACGGGGAACCTCACACGGTTGGCATCCTTGTTCATGGCAACTTAGAGTCACCTCGGTACAACCTTGTAATCGCAGTTTTGCAATTTGCAGACGTGTTGTCGTTTTTGCCCGCTAATGCAAAACCATAACACGTTTTTACCTGATTAAGAAAATTAAGACGTTTCTTAATGCCTAAAAAAATTAAAAAATGTTTCAAACAATATTTCTTACTTTTTTTTATAGGTACTTGTGCGAACGTTGTTCCGTGATTTTATGACTTCTACATTTAGGAGTCAGAAACGGTTAAGTCCTAAATCTGCTTTTTACTATTGCTGGTTGAAAATATGTAGTTATATAAATAAGGACAAAATTCATAAGTTATAGAAACAACTTGAAAATTTCACCTACTTTACTATATACTGTTTTAAATACTTTGCTAGTAGATTCCATTCTAGTAAAAGAAGACAATTTTGTTGCATTGCAGTTGTTAAAATAAATATATTTTTAAATATCTTGAATTAAACCAATCCTGCATATTTTGTCTCAATATAGGTACTAACAGAACACCTTCACAAATGGTCATTCAAATTCTGCAACACTTGTAATTCTAACGGCGGCCGTTCAGCTTGGCCAATACATTATACGGTCGCTATTAAAAATAAAAACCTGCGAATCATTCGGTGTTAAAATGTAAAGGATACATAACATTCCAAATGGCGAGAGCGAGCGAGAGAGAATATGAACCAAAACAAGTGCGTTACCCCCGCGAAGATAATCCACGTATTTATTTTTATATATCTCCAATGTAGCGGATCGAATGAGCAATACGTATCGTACGGATGTGTGTAGGATGTAGTAGGTACGTAGGTACCTAACCTATATATTTATAAAACTGATCGTGAAATGGTTCTCATTATCATTTCAAATTTATTTTCATCCTTATCCTTATATTTTGTTCTGTATCCATGGTTACCTCTCACTCGAAAAATCACACTGAAGAAACATGCTTATACTCATTCTTCTTTTTTTATAAGGTTGTATTTTTTCATGCTGGACCTAATTCTAGGTTATTTTTTGAGTTATGATATATATCATTATTGTCTTGTCATTAAAAAATAAAATGTCTTGCCTTGTTGTAAGATTACTCGTTCTTTATAAATTTGAGCAATAGATAGTCCATGTCAATATATGCAATTAACTAAATATAGGTCTATTTATAAATGCATCAATGATACGTATGTAAAATTTGACACTTTGTTGGTAAAATATTTTTTTCAACGTTTTATGTTCTAATAAGTGATCGCTGGTCATGCGCAATTCGACAAGCATTGTTAAGCTGTACTCTGTAGTAACAGCAAGATGCGACCTTTACGCTCGAACGCGTGGCCATGAGAACTCCTGAAGGTTGCGTACTAACCGATTACTGCTGCGCGATTTGAGTAATTTTTAACTTTTAATTTGCCAACTTGAAAAATAAAGAAGTCAAACGAACAAAAGTACTTAGAGATCTTTAAACTTCTCTCAGTTTTACGACAGTCGACAAACCTCGTAAGCACATTCATGGAGCACAAAAACAGCCTACAACACTACAATCTTGTGATATTGCTTGTTGTGTGCGTGTGTGCCAAGCCAATAGGTCGACCAACCAGTCGGCCAGACGTTCCCCCTCCCTCGCTCTGTCCTCCGTCTGTTCTCCCCTCCCCGTATTCCCCCCATTGCACCAGCCAGTCAGCGTTTAGTCGGCGGTCTGTTCTCACGCCGTTTGTTGCTGACGCTCTCTCTTCTTTACGTCATACTTCATTTTGTGGAAATTTAAGTCTTCTAATATAGTAAGTGTTTTTTAATAGAGTGTTATCACTGCGTTCAACATTCAAGACCACATAAAAGTTTTAAAGAGTACATTTTAAAATCTTATACTCACTACCGCTTTGTCTTGTTACAGGTACCTACTTGGAACTGGGTGTGAACCCAGATACGGTGTGTGAAGTTTTATGTAATAAAGAAGAAACTAAATAGATTGTGTATATTTGCCGTGTGTGTGCGTGTAACGATAAAATTGGATTAGAGTGAAGTTTTTATTTTAAAAAGTGAAGTGTACCTACTCTGCAAATTACTCTGCAACTGTTATGCGCTATAAACAAGTGATTTGTGTCATTTATTGGATTTTTATTTACTTGGATCACTAGGAGCAAATGGCAATTGTAAGTAAACTAATTTATTTCTTTAAATTTAGCTATCTTTGATTTTAATAAACAACAGAATAAGTGTATCGAAATGTTATCATGTTACTTCGGAATAACATCATTAGTGTTTTTATTAATACCAGTTTACATACCTTTAGTGAAATTTCATAGAATTAGGAGCAGTACCTGGTATTTAGGTCAGTAACAGATGTTCAATATTATGTTTATATTGAATTCGAGCCAACTAGTAACTAAGAAAATGCCTACAATGAAAACAATATAAATATATTTTTCGCTGGATATCGAGTTAGTATAAATAATACTAAATATAATGCTACAGAAAAAGTAACAGTTTAAAGCATATGAGGAACCCAAGAATTGTAATATAGTATTTAGTATAAATCCTATTTATTAAATAAGTTACTTTCGATACACAGTTTCCGTCGACATTGTAAGTATTTCGCTGCTTATTTCTAAAGTAACATTCCATAGTGCGACAACACTTTATTATCATATCTTTGCATAATATAAATAAACGATACTATTAAAAATAAAGATTAAATACTATTGCCCAAATTCATACATTTCCTAAGTTTCTATATGTAAGTGAATAATTATCGGTAAGTAATTGTAAGCAATCAGGTGCATGCACATTGATAAATAAATTCGCACATTCTCGTGTTTTCATAACGTTTGGATACTGTTGGCCTTCTTGCTCTATTCCCTCTGTATCTAATTGAATTGCTCATTGTGAATTGTTGAGCAAGGTTCGAAAACTAATGAGATATCGAGATCGCAAATATACGGGCGCCATCTTCTCGTACTGCCTGACGCGCATCACGACCTCGTGTGCAAGTTCACTAAATTTAGAACACGGTTGACACTTTGTGTTCCCGATATCAAAATGAATATTATTTATACGGCGAGCGGCGCGACGAGGGAAAATTTTCACTTTAATAATCATTGTTTATTAATGGAAGTAAATTAATTTAGTTGCGCGTACGCTGTGCTATTCCTATTCCTTGTCACGCACGTTGACAGCGTGCCATCATCATCATTTCAGCTGCACCCCATTTGACGCCCAGCGATGAACATATGCCTCTTATAGACGTAAATCTGTATGTATACTGTTAAAATTACAGCATTTTTGCTCATATAATTTGAACATTTTCAAGATCGTTAGCATCTCTCTAGGTGGGATTTAATTTTTAGTAATGGAGAAAATAGTGACTGTTGCTAGTAATGTCAGATCAACGTGGTGTGATACCATCGAAGTCATTTCGCCAAGATGGTAACATGCTCATTTTTTCATCCTCAACTGGTGTCCTGCCAGAGAATACCATTGGCGCATCATTTCATGTTAAAATTCAGTGTCTTAGCATGCGATATTAACCATCCAAAGATAAGAAGTTTGTAACTGCTCATAATAATTAGCTTTATTGACTTCCTTCCTCAAATTGGATTGTGTGACGTAGTTACAAACGTTTTCCTCTTAATTTGTGTTTGAATATTAAAGCAATAAACCCTAATTAAATTTTTCCCCAAACAAATTGTCATACTTAAAGGGGATTTGGTTGGAAGTAAGAATAGCACAAAAATTATCGGCCTGCCTGGTGGAAACATGCATGCAGGTGACTTTATACAAAGTGGGTACCACGACGAAATAATAATTCGTCGCAATTGTGTGGCTCTGTGCTGTGAAGTCGCTATCTACCTACACACCGAGAAGTGGGTCAAGGCAGATTCGCGGGCGGTCTGCGTTTCCTCCTAGGCTAGCTCGGCCTGACACCGTGCATCACGAGTCTCGGTCACAATAGTAAATTATTAACAATAGTTTATTTCAACCTGGAGATAATTTTACAACAAATTAATATCTATATATTCAGAATATTTGATCCTAAAAATCAACTTGATTTTTAAAAATTTCGATTTAAAAATATTATATACACGAGTACTATAAAGCCGATTGAATCATGTCTCAATAAAGTGACGTAAATGATTGTAAACTTCACAAGATACACAATTATTTGAAAATTGTATCTATCTTTATCATAGATAATGTGGAAACTTATCTTATCGCATTTCGACCACTGTGTGCCACCACTACTATGAGGAAGAACCTCGTTAGTCTGTTTGAACGTTAGATCAGTCGCTATTAATATAAATGGCTTTTGAATGCTAAATTTTAGACATGGCACGAATAATTTGTTCTCACGAAACTACACAATTCAGCTTATTTTTTAAAAAATTCTAATGCGGTCGGGATAATAGCCATCGGCTGCAATATGTATGGACATTATAAAAACCTATTGTATTTTTTTATCTAGACATTTTTATAATTTTCTCGAGTCAACAAAACGTGTACAAAACACGTTTCTTGCATCACACTGGAGACATAAGTTTGAAAAGGTTTAATATAATAATAACCACAATTTTGAAGAGTGAATATCTTCGTCTTATATGCCTTGGGAAGAAAGAAATAGGTGCTCTATATTTACAATACAAAAATACATTTCCTTTAACCACCTTGGAAATTTCTGGCAACAAAAATCCATACATGTGTACATGTATGAATTTTTGTTGTCAGAAATTCTTTAGAATTTTGCTTCGATGACTAGATAGTAATCTACATATTGTAAAAAATGTAACCTTTCTGTTCTAATCAACTAAGATATCCAAAGCTGCAGTGACCCTGAAGAAACCTTCATGACAGGTTATTAAAATTATGTTTGTCTAGATTACATTATCTGTTTCTTGACAAATAAGTAGATTTATAAGGCATTTATTAAATTACTAGTTAATTTTGGTAAAATTATTTTGCTAAAATATACTTGATTTCAGACGTATGTATACTCTAATATGATTAACGTTTCTTACTCCCAATAAGAAAGAGAATGTGTTATTGCGAAATATAAAATGAAAAGTATTTTCTCATCTCTAGTCTAACAACGTGCTTAGAATAGATGTTAAACAGATATTTGGGCTACAGTAGGTGGCACTTAGATTAATAGGATAATTAGAATAAAAGTTTGCCTTAATAATTTTAACACAAAACTGTCATTATCGGTATTACATTTGCGTATACATCTATAATATGGACAGTTCAAATTATATACTGCATATGTACTGTCATTTGAAAGCTGATATTTAAAAAGAAAAAGTTAAATTCTATAATTATACGAAATTAATGAAAATCGTCACAGTTTAGACATTATTATAAATATAAATTATTACACTTAGGTCATTTAGCTCTATCACCAAAAAATAATTCTTAATACTGTTACTCCGTTTAGGTATCTAAGACAAGGACTTTCTTCTTATTAATATTAGCAAGAACTAGGACAATTTATAAAGTATAACAATTACATTTTGTAATCAGTAGTGAAGTGGATGCCTATATATCTATAAGTCAAACAGTACTGATAGGGATGCTCCTATAGAAGTCAGCCAGTTTTATCAAATCTATTTTGGATCAAGGATATTGATAAATGAAATTATTGGAGCACTTAATGTTTTGTTGATTTAGTCTGAAGTAGGTATATTTCGTTTTCTAAGAATACTTAGGCGGTATATAATGTACGTAATGTATAAATAATAGCAATACTATTAATTGCTTATAATAATTCATTCAAAACTGTTTGAACGTAAACCACAATACTCATTTATCTGTCTGTTAACGATATAGGTATACTTAATACACTTGTAAATGTTGTAAAAATATAATATGAATCGTGACTTCAATAAGTATATTATTTACATAAAGATTGTAACTATGAACGAAACATGTGGTAATGTCGTCAAGTAGATAAATGAAACGGCGACCGTACTACTCACTCATAGTACGTATGTACGATGTAGTACTGTGTATGAAATAAAGAATAAATACTAAAAGATTCACCGCCAATGGTGGCCAATCAACTTACAACAAATTATAGCAATGCTAAGGGTGATACGTCTTTAAAAAATGTCTGCTTATTATATAGTATTTGAAGACAGAACAGAGAAGTAAGTTACTGACTTAAATGTTCTATGTATTTGATCTTATGCGAGTGATGATTCTAAATCACTATAGTTCTTGAATAAAATATGTAGGTGTATATATATATCTAGTCGTAATATAAACAAACAATGCGCATACAGATATGGCCAGTTTGCACTAGTTAACGTCTCCGCCGACCCACTTAGATACCCACTATCAGGAACAATGGCGACACTAATAACTGAACACTTTCTCTAGCACGCTCGATTTCGCAAGCCACAACCACCGCCAACCACAATTGTTTATTTTGTTAATATTCGCATTCTATACGATTTTATCGCCTTACATAATCCACTTGTTTATGGTAATACATCTAAGGTTTTAAGTATGCCATATCACAGTCGCACAACTTTTAGATAGCGCTACAGTGACACAGATAACCAAAGTAAACTTCGGCGGTATGGCTCTCGAATGTCAAATTACTAACGGTATGTAAAACGATGCGAATTCCATGGTGCTGGCAGCGTGTCTCAGCAACAGTCATCGAGTATAACATTGACTTTCACATTTGTTGGGCCGCTGATGTAACGTCCCGCGGGCCGCCCGCGCTGCGCCCGCGCCGCCGCCGTGATTAGGTAAACGTTGCGCGCGCCGCTTTCACCCCACTTTCACCTCCATTTCCGCGTAGTTGTACACTGTTCAATTACGATAAATTAAATTTATCAACGCACACGTGTCGTGATTGTCCTTGTGATTTGCGTGTGTTTATGTAGATAGATACTTGTGTTTTGTATAATTAGAAACAGCGCCGAGAAAATAAGTCGCTCAGTAGGGTGCACGAGCGAACGACATGTAGAGCGAAATAGAGAGCTTCATAATAAATAAATCAGATAGTTTTATATTCAGCGATTTTATGAATCGATAATAATAATTTGAAATTTATTTTTACCGTAAGATGTTACTTTATGCTAATTATGTTATGAAGTTTTTTTTATATAAATACCTCTTTCTTTTCTTTTGCTCCAAAATTCCACGAAGT